TTTTCCCCCGGTTGATTTTATTGTCGGTTTCAAATTCTAAGCTGATTTTGGAGATCTCTGCAGTAAACCAGCCTGCCTTAGTGTAGAGCAGCTTCCCCAACGTGTCCTTTTCTCTCTCCCTGCCTGCTGTCTCTGCCGTTTCTGCTGCTCCTGCTGCTGACAGAAAACGTGTTAGGAAAGCAGAAAGAGAAAATGCCAGCCATCCTGGTAGCCTCCAAAATGAAATCGGGACTACCTAAACCCGTACACAGCGCTGCTCCAATCCTGCATGTCCCGACGGCCAGGACCATCCCACAGCCCTGTTACCTGAAGTTTGGGAGCAAGGTGGAGGTGACGAAGCCATTGTACTCCAGCCAGATTCCTCTCAAATCTTCTAATGGACAAGAAAACGCAGGAGATGCACTCCCAGCAAGGAAGAGTAGCTCGGTAGAAAATGGAATTGACACACAGGTTAGAAGGCACCAAATGCTGGGGAAGGTGTATGCGAGAATTTGTTTCTGTGTCGGGAGTGTGCAGCAGGTTTTCTGGGGTAAATAGCGGTCTGAGAAGGGGTGTGTGTGTGTGTATGCTAACATCTGTCTGAAGTGGTGGGATGTTTTATATTGCACATAGTGGCATGTGTAATTTTGTCAGCATGATGGGAGCTGATGGTGGGGTGGTCAGGGACGGGGCTGCATGTGCTGCTTGCCTGCGTTACCTTCCCTGTCACCTTTGCTTGAACTTGGGGGGGGATTTGCAAAAGGGAGACGGTAGAGATGTTGTTTATGGGGTGTGTTCTTTGTGTTCTTTATGTAGATGCTAAGTGTGATGGCTGGGTTGTGTGCCTGGGCTGGGGAAAGATCGCTGGCTGTGGGGAATGTGTTTTGTGTTTGGTCATGTACTGTACCAGGGCACTAGTTGTGTGAACATTTTGTATTTGTAGTTGTGTGGGGAGTGAATGGGAGGCAGTGCTGGTTGCTAAATTACAATATACATGTCATTCAGCGCAGCTAAATTAAACAGATTATGTAGGAAATGAATACTCAAGTGGAACTGCCTGTTATAATGCTAAATGTGCATGACATCACAGACGCAGCACATCATCAATACCCTTTTTTTTTATTATTATTATTTCCCTTTGATCTGTACCGGTTGTGTATTTTTATATATGCTGCTTGTTTCTGTAGGGGAGGAGAAATGTAGGTTCTGCAGCTCCTTTGGTTTTTTTGTCACATAATAACGTCCCCAACGTGGCTGGGATCGCCTTGTCCCGCCTGCGCCCCGGTGGGCTCTGCAGCAGCCTGAGCAGACACAGTGTGTGGAGCGTGCTAACGGTGGGAGCAAAGCAGATGGTGTTGCTGCAGCAGGCAGAATTGATCACCATTACACAGAGATCACTGTATTGCAGCAGCGTGATGTATTTTGGCAACAGCCATCTACACATTACAAGCCACTGCTGACAATATCTGAGTCCGGTGGGAGGTGATACCATTATACCGGGGTAGGGAAATGATGACAGATGACTTACCTGTTGGTTTGGTGGTTTTTTTTTTTTTCCCTCCTCGAGGAATAATGGATCATCCCTGCCACCTGGATTTTGAAAACCTCTGTCCTCGTAACCCTGTTCTCTTCAGGCAAATGTGACCACCGATTGGGCACGTTTGACCGCATGCCCTGATTTTGGGATGTGCTGCGCTTTCGCTGCCGGTAGACAGGGTGACGTATTGGGCTGCTCAGGCCAGACAAATACGACTGTAGCAGTCCCTGAGGGACTGAGAGCAGGGAAAGGAGACAGCCAAGCGTTGGTGGCAGGGTGGTGGCAGCAGACAGACCAACCTGCGCATCACATCTTGCCCTTACGGGAGAATCGAGCGCTCGCTTGTGCCGGAGTCTGTCCTTGCGATTATGAAACGTCAGCAAAATCTCATTATCTGCTGCTTTTTTCTCTCTCACACGTGCCATGGTTTCTGCATAGAAATCTATATTCCTGCAGAAGGGATTGTTATTCAGAAATACTTTCTCATCTTGTGACAGATTATGCTCAGAGAGATCCTGCCAGTGGGAGCTGTTTGCAGCAGTAGGGGCAACACTATGGTGGTTTTAACCCTTCTACAGATGTGGAACAAACCCATTTTTTGTATCCTAATGATGAAAGGGTCTTGATGCTAACTCATTGTGTTTAAACAGGGAGTGATTTTGGCCGAAGAAATGTCAGGTAATTTTGCTCTTTTTAGTAATTTCAGCAGCAGGAGAAATCTTAAGCTTTGCTTTCTCAGTAACCTCCTCCAGGTAGCAGTCTGAGCAGATGACCAGCACCTTTTAAGGTGTGAACCAGCAAAAACCAGTGTTTTACTATCCGTTATCTTGAATAAACACACTCATTTTTTGTTGTTCTTATTGATCCAACTTTGATCCTTCTGCCCACCTAAGCATGCAGGGTTCTGCCATTCGAGGTGGTCGTTTGGAACAGCAGGACAGCAGGAGATTTTTTTCCAGATACGTTTTTATCAGGGACACTGTTCTTTCTTTTTTTTCTGCTGTTCTTCCCTCCCAGGGGAGGAGGAGCAAGATGGATGGAGAGCTGCCAGGTGGTATGTCAGCAGCAGAAGCATTTTTATCTGGGCAGACCTTCCAGTTGCATTCAGATACAGAAGTGCTTTCTGATAAGAAGCCTGGTAAGGTTTAGTCTTAAACACTGCACCAGGTGTTGAGAATCATAGACATGTCCTCTCAGGGTGATCACCTGCTTCTCTGCTGCGTAGTTCATCTGAAGCACCATTTTACTCACCATTTTACTGTGCAGGCACCTGGCATCACTTCTACGTTGAATTTGGGTTTGCCTTTTTTCCCTGTGCTTAGCTGACTGAGAAGAGATTGTGTCTGGTGCATTGACCAGAGTGTAAGGACACTAGACCATGCTTTCATGCTGTTGTAGCATGTTTCAAGCCACTTACAGTGCTTCGTGAGTTTTTTGGGTGCCAGGTAGCACCTTTCTTGAGCCTGATTCTTCAGAGAACATGAGCACTGCAGGTGGTTTTTCATTAAAGCACCAATTTTTTAAAAAACTGCTAAAAATCGGGGTGTCCCACTTACACATGTGGTATCAGTGAAAACTTCTAAATGTTTTGCTGAGCTTTTTGTCGCTCCTCTTGATACGGTTTTACACGTGTAAACTGGGTTTTATACCAACTAGAAGTTTTGTGCCTTAAGGCCATATATGGGCAATGTGTTATTTAAAATGCTGTGCAATTTATAAAAAGCATTCTTCAGAGTATTTCAGAGGCACTTTCCAAAGAAAGGTCTGAGGGTTTTAGCAGTCAAGCCCATTGTAAAATGCTAGTCGGAAATCTTAGGTCGATGAATCATGGCAGTATCATTCCTATTTTATTGTTGCTGATATACACACTCCATTCATTTTTCCATATTAAAATCCCTGTGTTGTGCACAACAGTATCTGACTGTTGCACTGGTGCGCTTATTTTGTCTAATTTGAAAACACCGCCAATAAATTGTAGCCATATTTAGAGGGCGTTGTTTTGGAAATATTTAACTTTGTTACCAGAGAAACTTCCGTCAGGGGGGGATGGCCAAGATAGCGATCTCTCATCTACAAACTGGTATTTATTAGCGGTTCTGAAAAGAAGTCGGATGTATTTGGCTACTAAATTTGCATTAGTTATTTAAGACAGGAGTCGTTGCCAATTGGGAGTCCGTGGCCGTGGTATAATTGTTCGTGCAGATGCAAGAAGGAAGATTCTGTTCCAGCAATACAGTCTGTTGCCATGTTATTGGGAATGCCACTGAATCCAGATCATGGATTTAATTACTGTGTTTATTGCTGCTGGGTTGTATTCTCGAGCTCCTTGATTTTCTTTCCCTGGAAAACCCCAAAAATTTGTCACCGCGTCTTCAGTACCTGAAGTGCAGCCCTAAAGGCACTGGGCCCGTGTTTAAGTGGTTGCTCCCACCCTTCCACTGAAACACTTCAAGTTAACAGACTTTGTTTAACCTGGTATTAAAGTATGTATATTCAGCAATTACCTGTAACTGTGCTTAGCTTTGGGCAGGGATGGGTTGGGGTTGGACTTGTTATTTCTTTGCAAACTTCTTTGCAATACTTGTTTGCTGAAAACCAGGCAGGTACTTTCTCCTGGTGGACATGGCAGGCAGGTGCTCACTGGGTGTTATATTTTCACTCCCTTTTCTCTTCCCCCACACTAAGCAAACCTAGTTCTTTTACAGGATTTCTAGAACTCTTACACCTCTTTGTGTTATCTACTGAACTCTTCAGTTCCCCTTTTTGTTTTTGGGTTTTGTTTTTTTTTTTTTTTTTTAAGAATTCAGTTCAGAACTGCTTGGGTATCATTGTCTGAAATAAAGCTCCCTTGCTCAGCTAGATTTTTCTTCATGTTGCTTTCTCAGTTTGGGAAGATCTTGTTGAGTTGGGCAGCAGAGATTTGTTTGCAGTCTAGGTTTGGGGTGTTCCAGACCTCCCTATTTTCCAGTCTTACACTAGCTATTTCTTCTAGTGATTTAGTTCTTCTTTCCTAATTTGTGAAGATCATCCACATCTGGGGTGTGCCTCAAAAACATTTGCAATACCTACAGAGATAAAAAATGTACCTGGTTTTTTTTCTTCACTACCCATTCTGTGGTCCAAGGAATGACAAGGCTGTGGAATGGAATTGGCAGAGAAGCTCCATTACATCTCCCTACAAAAAAGTCTACTGGATAGGCCTTCCCAGGTTGGCAGCACGCTGCTGACACATTTCAGGGAGTTTTTCAGTCAGCTGTGTGCTGCTCTCAAGCTGATTAATTAATGGGTTCCTCCAGTATTTTTCCACACTTCAAATTTAGGCTCACATCAACTGTTTGATGAGCCACACGTGACTTGAGATCTGCTGGCTATCAGGTTTCCTTCTCTGCCTCAATCCCCCTGTCCCCATGCCATTAGCAATCCAAATGAAGCCATGTATTTCAGATATTAGTAATCCCTTTCCTGTATTTTAATTAACTTTTTACCAGAAGCCGTTTATACCTCCGTGTCACTGTCTTGCTAATGTGAAGCTTCATAGAGAGATTAACAGGGCACATTGCAGAGAGAAATTGTGCCTTCCTTTCTCACATGCATGGCCATTTTTGGTGTGTGATATTGGGCTTCAGAGCTTGTCTACTGGACCAGGCTGAGAAGGGATGGGAATCAGGCAAATCTTTGTCTGGAGCCAGTTTCAAGTCAGATGAACATTGGTTGGATTCAGTGCCATCACGTGAGCTGCCTCAATGGTGTGAAATTTGGTCTCGCCTCTGCTGAGATAATTATGAAAGAAATTATGAGAGATGTGGTCAGTCACACTGATAACTTTAACAGAAAGGATGCCTTTTTGCAAGGTTGGAAGAAAACAAATGAGATCACATCCTGTGTGAACAAAGGATTAATTTTACTGAAATGTTGGGAGAAGCTAAGAAAAACT